TTTAAAACCACGAATTTCAGCAATTTGATCTTTTGTTAATTCTTTAACGGCACGTCGTGCTTCTTCTAATGCTGGTAATGCTGCAGCTAATTCAACATCTGCTTCTTCTTTTTTCACAGCTATTTCTACTTGTTTAATATCAAGTGATTTTTTTTGTATCCAATGCTTCTGTTTCTTTTTCTGTTGCAGATGCTTGTTTTTCTGCAATTTTTTCTAATAAATGTCGACATTCTTCTGAACGTTTTGCAAATTCTTTACGTTGAACTTGTAAACGTGCATCTAAATCTTTCAATTGAACTTGTGCTTCATCTATTTTTTCAAGACCAACAGCAAGACGTTGTTGCTAGAAAATAAAATGGCATATATAAAACAATAATGAAAAATATTAAAATATCTTTCAAAACATACTTGCGCTAAATTTTTGTTTATTTTTTTCTTTCTGAAAGTTTTAAATAGGTAGTAAGATAATCAAGATAATTTCAGGCCATGGTAAAAACCAATCAATAATTGCATTATTAATTAAACCTTAAGAATATATACGTATGACATGATAGATCTAACAATTTTATTAATTGAATCAGGGTTTGCAGGTGCAGTCTGACAAAATACCTTAGGCTTTATAATTTTTATGATGGAAGAACACCGAAGATTAAATGATTTCGTATGTTTGCTTTGTTTGTGTTTAAACGTTTTTTATTTTGCTCTTCACTTTACACTGATTCGCAATAACTTAGGGTATTCTACTTTATTCTCTAGTTTTTTTCTGTGTGAAGGGATATAGACGCTAGTGTTTAGAAAAAGGATAAAAGTAGAGGATTCCCTGATAGTCCATTTTTCTGTTCGACTAGAACCGTTTGCGGTATGCCGCATGCAGAGAGAGACAGTTGTATCTGATGATGATAAAATGAGGACTTTGTACACCACATATGAACTTTTTTCGACCGCGTATATATTTCGTTCTAGTATATTTTCGTTCACCAGTGAAGCTGAACACTCAAAATTCGTATCGGCTAAACTTGACGAATTTTCACGAAAAGGATGGCTGGGAGATAATAAATGGGCTGGCTAGATCTTACTCAGTGAGATAGAATGAGAGATATTGACTGGAATATACCCTCCAAAGAGTGTCTAAAATGTCATGAGTACTAATATATAAAATGAGGTTTTGATACGACATTTAAATGCTATAGCACCGACAATAGTAGAGCGGAAGCGACACTTTCAGAATTTGGAACTAATTACGCACAGATTAAAACTTGATTTTATTGTTACTTAACGTTTTAATGCGATGCGAAAGCCTTTACTTCTAGTAATCATCGTCGTCTTTTTGCTTCATTTTTCTCAAACACTATAAATTGTATTTAGAACATTCAAAAATAAGTTTAATGAGCGTGCTTTGGAAGTGTGTCCTATTTTCGAGATTCATATATATTGCGTTTGTCTGTTTTAAGCTGCCAAAAACCGATGAAAAAAGTGCTTCGAATTTCCGCGAATTTTGACGGCTTCCCTTAGTCACTTACTTTCTTCTGTACCTCAGATAGTAGGCAAGAAAAAGTACGAAAATATTCATTTTCTGGTGAATTGTACAAAGTCAAGCATCTGCTTGATAATTGAAGTTTATTATGCAGCATAATAACGATAAAAATCTTGAAGATTTTACATTAATTTGTCTAAATATTGATCCAGATAATACTGACTTACTTAAACAGTTTTGTAATATAGTTAACTATGTAAAATCGTTCTACTCAGAAGATGAATTGTCGGATATATGAAATCTGTGAGTGCAGAAAAATTATTTTTAATTATCGAACACTAGCAGTCAGTCCTACTACTCCAACAATTCCTATCAAACGTACATCATTTACCGTTGTTAGTTTCATTTTTTATATCCATACCGCATAAAAACAATGCAAATGATCAAAGGTGGACAAGTAACTATAAGAAAATTTGTGGTGAGCTGTTCATAGAGGAATATCTGTTAGTCGAAAAACTATCAACAGATGTTCGATTAAGGCGGAGACACTTGTTGTCAATGCAAACAATTGATCCGAATGAAAGAACGACCCTTGAATTAGATGAGCATAATGAAACATTTGTTTTCATATCAGTGAAAATAGACTTTGAACTAAGGCGCCAATAATTCGAAGTTGGAGCAAATTTTAGTTTTGACTTAAAAGCACATCACTAGATGTAGTTTTATCTGGTGATCACGAATCTGACCTTGTTTTTTGATTTTCACCGATTTTGCCGCAGAACAACGCAAAATTCTGCTAACTACTTAAAAACACCAAAAACCTTAGGCTTGTTGGTCCATACAGGTAATTTGTGGAGACCTATCTATCGGCTATTTGGGGCTCCAGAAACCTTAAAAGCACATGAAACGTAGGTTTCATAGGTATAGATTTCCACAGATACCTGTAGCCTAGAACCACGGCAGCTGAAGACTTGGGACTTACACCAGGTTGTAGAGCGACGTCTGTTGTATATCCACATGTGTTTAGAGCAGTACTTTGCTATGTAGATTTTTGGAATGGCAGGCTTGGACATTTTGTTTCAAAAGGTATTTCATGATAGACCTGTCGGATTTAGCTTGGTTTAGCATAGAATTATGCCCCCAGGTGTCCTCTGCCATAATCTGAAAACCGTAAGTCTCTACTTCTTACTACTCAGAAGTTATTCAAACAACGGTAGTGTGCCTTCTATTTTGAAACGAATAGTAGTTCAAAGTGGAATTTGACCTTGGCCTAGACTAATATTAGATTGGACTAAATTTCACTATGAACCCTAACAGAATTTCAAATATCCTCGGCTGAGAGACATTCTGTTTAATAATGAATCATACTGGTAAACAAACGAAGATACTCACGGTCATCATTATCGCCAATATGTTTATGACTCGTCTTGAAGAAGTACATTATGTCGGAACTGAAAGATGAACGAGCATAGTATTATATAAGATATTTTGATGACACTTTTATGTGATGCGAACAAAATCCATCGGTCAATGCTTTTCTTCAAATATTAAAGTCATTTCATTTTGAAATCCAATTGAATCCATATGGAATTGAAATTAATGTCTTTACTATTTTCTAGGCGTAAATGTAAGGCGTAATAATTCAAAATTTCAAACGGTAGTTAACAAAACGAACACTTTGCTTTACTTCTGACACACTGAGTTTCGTATGCACTAGGAAATTATTAGAAACGTAATCTTAGTAGTATGATGAATTGCGGCATACATATATGATCGTGTTATGACTTGTTAATAACGGGACTACAAGAAACCAGAATATATCATTTTAAAGTTCATTTTACTTCTCGCCTTTATTATTTTTCTGAGTTTTATTTATTATTTCCGTCAATGTCAAAACAGTAAGAATCATTTAGTCAACCGTTCAATAGTATAGCTGATATCTTAACACATGAAAATTATATTGAATGATGCACAGACATCTGGTGGTTTGTTATTTGGAATTAGCGAGACAGATTATTTTGAGACAGTGCAGAAGAAGTTTACCGAAGAACAAATGTTTATTAGTGTTAGGGAAAGATTTGAACAAAGTGATGATCGAAGTAATTATAAAATTTTTGTAAAAAATGATTAATTTGTATTGATTCATTTTTATTCATTTTAAATAGATAAAGCTGAGCTGCATGATAAGGGTGCCCCCCGCGGGGGCCTCGCCCCTCTTTTTTGCAGAAAATTAGTCATTTTGAGCTGAACGTAGTCTAATGTAGAGGAAACTATGGGTTATACAATAAGACCGCCCCCAGCTCTCCATGACCTTCCTTGGAAAAATTATGAAGCTTTTAAGTTTTACATTCAAAGCCTGGTAAATCTCAACTTTTTTGGTTCGTAAATTTTTCTCTTCTTTCCTATATATTCAGTATTGACTCTCTATCTTCAGGAGCTATATGCATTTTCGAAAATCTTGATATAGTGACTTTAGGTCGGTTTGAAACTGAAAGTAAACACTACTACTCGACTCAGCGTGACCGATTATCCTTATCTTGACCCATTTTAGGGTCACCCAAGGTCAACCTGGCTGAAATAGGGGCCCTCGGGAAAACGCCTATAACTCCTAAATCGTATGGGACAGAGCGTTTTTTAACACGGTAATAGTAACGTTATGGGTAATCATATAAAAAGTCTGCTAGCACAGATTAGTTTAGCAGCACATACTAGCAATTGCAGACGTATAATAATGTCTCTGAGCTGCCTAACATATGTGATTATGGAGAATTCTTGCTGCTATTCTGTCGAAATCGGATGTAAAATGATGAAAAACTTTTGGCCATAACTCAAATCGAATGACAAGAACTATTTAAGTATAAAACGATTATTATCATTTGATCACAAATAAACGCACATTTCTTTTGTTTCTATTTTTCATTTAATGTAAGAACAGAGAAAAACTCTATTCCTCTGCAATGTCATTAATATTTGAATTATGAGTCAGTCGTACAAGTGTAAAAGATAAATATCGACTAAGATACACAAAACTGTTAGAAAAAAAGGAATAATAATAAAATATTCTTCGGTACTAAACACATACAAATTTTTTTTCTTTTGAAACTTAGAAATTAATCCTTCAATTTTATAGTGCAAAGAAATGAGTACTCAGTTAAAGAATGAAGAATTTGTTTTATTCACTCGTCCGTCTGGTCAAAGTGACATTAAATCAGCATGGAAACTACAATCTTGTCTAATGCCCATTATCACCAAAGATAATGAATTTATACTAGAAACATTATTTGTCTCCGTTGATCCTTATCTTAGTAGTGGTTTGAAAAAATCTGCTTTAGGTGGTGCTATAAATTCTATTGGTTCAATTCAAATATCGGGTTTAGTAGCACGCGTTATTGAAAGTAGAAATCCAAATATTCCAGTTGATACTATTGTTACAGGAAGAATGGAATGGAAACGATTTATTCTTGCAAATGGTACGGAGCCAAGATTTAGAATTGTGCAGAAACCTACCGATAAAAATACAATTTATAATAAAATTGGTTTTAGTACTGCAGTTGGAGTATTAGGAATGCCTTCACAAACATCTTATTATGGAATATTATCCGTAGCCAATACTCAACCATCAGATGTTTTAGTAATAAGCGGTGCTGCAGGAGCTGTTGGTACAATTGCTGGACAAATTGCAAAGAAAATTAGAGGAGCCAAAATGGTCATTGGAATTGCTGGTGGAAAGAAAAAATGTGACTGTATTGTTAATGAATTAGGATTTGATGCAGCAATTGATTATAAAGAATATAATACAAAGGACAAAATGGTCAATAGGCTAAAAGAACTAACACCATCTGGTATAACACAATATTTTGATAATACCGGTGGTTTTGTTACTGATGCTATATTTGATATAATTGAAAGACATAGTAAAATTATTATTTGTGGTCAAATTAGTACTTATAATAATAGTGAAGAAGATTTATCAAAATCAAATATTTATCCAAATTATTTAGCTAAAACTATTTATCGTGGTTTATCCATTTTAGGATTTGTATGTAGTGATTTTATTCATCGAAATGAAGAAGAATTTTTTAAAGATATGCCCAATTGGTTAGAGCAAGGAATAATCAAATTTCATGAAACTATTATTGATGGATTTGAAAATTTACCTCGAGCTTATGAAATGCTTTTTACTGGAGAAAATATTGGAAAAATAGTTGTGAAAGTTTAAAAATATTTGTGGTAGCAAGAGACATTAGACGTATGTTTTTAGTCATCATTTTAAAAGTAAATTTTAATGAAAATAAATAAAGTTAATGAAGATGTTTGTCCAACATATAAGGAAGAATCTTGTTAACAAGCCCATAAGAAAAAAGTATCAATTTTTCGTACGAAACGTAATCTTCCTAGACTGTACAGTGTTCGCAAGGTTTTTCACATAAAAGTTTTATTTCTCTTCATACGAAAAGCATTATTTCAAACAAAATAAACATTAAATTAAGTCGGAATAGAAAAAGTATCAAAACTAACTAACTTTACCGTAGATCTGAGTTGTACACTGCTCAAAAGTTGAAAAAGTCGAGTGATGTTTTAATATTAGTTTTGTAAGAATTTCTAATTTAAACTTTTCAACTTTGATTTATTATTAAATGGTGAGTGATTTAATTTATATGACAATTTGTTTTTCTTTTCTGTATGACCAAAAGTCTCGATTGCTTACACCAAACCATTAAGAACAGAAAACAATGTGGTTTCTCCCCCGCCTATTGTGTGTGTTGAGCGGCAGACTTCGACATCGTGTAACCGGTTTTATACCTGTTCGTAGGCGATAATAGGCGGGGAAGAAACCACGTTGTTTTCTGTTCTTAATGATTTGGGCAACCTTGGTTATATACCTTAACAAAAAAACCATAAAAATAAATATATATCATTCAGTGTAACGATAACTACCTTGACTGCAGTTAGAGTTAAACAAATGTGTAGATCGCTAGAGCTTTGTTACAAGGTCGAGAAAAATAAATCCGGTATGTACTTAACTCAATAGCATTAAGCACCTTAGAAAGCACTGATTTATTTATCAAAGCAATTATCTACCCCATACGATGTAAAAGACGGTAAAATGAAGATGGTGCAAAGAATTTTGTCGGTCACGAAGTACAATAAACAAGTAGAAATAGCAGTACGTGATAAAAATTATATACACCATCAATCAGTAACTTTCTTTTAAACTATTGTAATATTTTGACTTTTTCTCGTTTAGTCAGCATCTTTTGTAACACTTCTGATGGACTTACTGCTACATAGTGCTTCCACCGTATCTAATTTAGTACTTGAAGGCAGTGAGTAAAGATGACCTGAGTTGTATACAAAGGCCGTCTGAGAAAAGCGAAAACATTTTTTGTTACTATCATAGATATGTCAGTTACGTTGAAGTCATATGTCTTTCCAAACATGCAGAAATAAGCCAGTAGCAATTAGCTATCAAAAAGTGTAAAAATATTGAAGCGGATTGGCGGGCGCTGCAGCTAGCTACGCTAGTTTCGATACCCGTTGCAGCTAGCTGCATAAGCGTGTACAGGACGGAACGAACGCTATAGCGGCGACTTCCGCTTGTAGCGAATTGCCTAACACGATGTTGAACTAGTTGGAAATCGCATACCGTAACTTGGTTTTCCGTGAAGGAGACATTTCTCAGAGTTGAAGCTAGAGACAATAGTATGTAAATTTAGTTTTCAACAGTTTTTCCTCTTAGCACAAATTTAGGAAAAGCTTTGTTCAGGGTGAAAATGCGATTCTTTTTATTATTTTTGATTTTTCAGTATGAAGGAAGCATTCCCGAACATTGCGCCTAGAGTTATTTTTGACTTTCATAAATGTTACCTTCAGTTTAACGTCAACCATTGACGGATGGAGTTAAAGGAACAATTACCCCGCCATACTTTGACATGATCAATAACTATGAAAGTTTGATCGAAAAGAGACATATAATTACTTCGATAGATTTAAGCAGGAGGAGTACTTTAACAGATTGTCTTCTTATTTTCTTTATTATTTTTGCATTTCTAACTAGGGGTGTTAATTTAGTTTTATTGTTCATTTATAATAATGGATAAAAGTAAACGAATCATTTCCACTTAAAAGATAAAGATAAATTCGTCATTTATATTTAAAAAATAAATATAAATAAATCAAAAAAAAAATTTATCTTTATTTTATAAAAGTAAATGATTCATTTGTATTTATTTATTTATTTTTACCTAAAAATAAATAAATCTTATCTTTTAAATAATATCTTTATCTTTTAAGTGGAAATGATTCATTTACATTTATTTTCCAAAGTAACACTAAATTAACACTCCTATTTCTAACAGCTTGCCTATTTAATGTTGCAGAATTTTTGTATTTAATCAAAGTTGTGATAGAAATGAATAATTAATATCTGAAATAAATGAGAAAAACTTTTGTAACTTGTTTATAAACACGAAAGTAATCTTGATTTGTAATGATTATATAAATTATAAAAGCCAGATTTTTATTCAGAAAAAGTTATCATGACTTTATCCTAGAAGTATTTTATGTTATATCGGTCATAGTAGAAAATGAAATTGAATGGAATTTGAAACTTCAATCTTTACTAGTGCCGATTAAAATACAGATACCTGTACATCTGATAAACCATGGATTTCTGTTCATTGATACTTTCGAGAGAAAATTCTTGTTTACAAAGTGAAAGAACAAATTGATAACCTTTGGGAGCATTACGAAGTCTGAGAGTGAGTAAAGAAACAACATGGCCAGAGTGTCAATTCATGGTTCATGACATGTGCAGGCATCTGCGTTATTATCTGCACTAGTGAAGACTGAAATTTTAATTTTCGGTAGTGAAATTTTAAATTTACTGGGTTTCAATTTCTACTGCCACGTATCCAATAATCAGTTAACATCATACGAGGAGCCCTGATCGCAGTTAAAACAGTTATAATATTTGCTTAGAATAAACATAGACCATAACTATCTATATCTTATTACAGTCTAAAAATATGTGAATTCAAAGCTGCTTCTTTAAATGCACGTTGAAAGAACGATTTTAGCTCACATTTTTTCCCAGCAGAAAATAAAAACAGAATTTTACAAAAAGAATATAAGAATTCATGATAATAAAATTTATGTTAGTTAATCGTAATTCGAACCTTGTGTAAAATTTTATCCGACTGCTTACATTTTTTGCGAACTTTGACCTTGAAATATTACCCAGATTTTCACTCCAAACTGAAGATCAATTAAGAATTTCAAAACACACATCATTCGACTCAGTTTTTTATCCTGATTCCGAATATGATATTTTTACTGCGCAAAAGTTGATCTTTGACCGAGAAAATTATACACGAACGTTATACGACTAAAGCAAAAAAAGTTATGGCGTTTTTCCCGAAAAACAAAGTTTTGGGTTTTTGCAGCTTTCTCCGTAATCGGAGTTTTTTTCCCTGAAGATGCAGTTGAGTAGACGTAAAAAGGTGAAATTTGTGATCAGCTTGACGAGGCGAATCAGAATATGTATGATTAAGTCAAAAAAAAGTTTGCTCGAAGTTCGAATTACGAGCATCTTAGATAAATATCATAAAGAGTAGTGTACAATTCGACGATTTTGTTAGACTTCTAAGTTGATGCGACAATATTAGACGCTTAGATATTATAGATAAAAGGTTTGAACCATCAAATTTCTGAAAGAGAATAAGCGGCAACAAGTCAATGGCTCTTGAAGTGTATTAGTGGAATGTCGGAACAAAGCGAGCAACCGAAGCTAGTCGAACAAAACGAGACAACAACATCAAAACAACATCGATCATCGCATCCTTTGCTTTCAAAAAATCATAACGAAGAAAACGAGATTAAAACTTTAGAGGATGCATCAATAGATTTTATTAATCAATTAGTAATAGACGAAAAACGAGAATTAAATACCAAAACATGCTCATCAGTGCCATTAGAAAAACAATCTAATAAGAAACAGTATGATCAAAGTGTAGTCGGCACACTATTGGTGATATCATCTGATCCTAATCAAATATTTGAGTACATTACACATGGTAATTTTGCTGCACTTCGGAAAACATCCGAAATACATCATGCTAAAATTGTGACAATGAAAAATTCATTTAATCAAGTAAGTTCGATGAAAATGAAAATATGTTTTAGTTGAATTTATTTTTAATTCTTTAGACAGTTTTATATATGGGTGTTCAACATAATTTAGCATATGTATGGATACGACTATTTCTAATGCGTGGTGTGGATCCTTGTGTACAAGACACATCGGGATTAACAGAGCACATTATACATGCGAAAGAGATGATGTAGAAATGCTGAAAGCCTTAACACTACCCTTCCATGCTAACGTAAAAGCTTTACCAGACAATATGGTAAAGCAAGTGCATGAAAACTGTGTGAGTGCACTATACATAGTAGAAAATCATGGTAAATAAAAATGTCAAGTTTCAGACTTGAAAAACGTTTTGACTCTATGTATTCGATCTTTAGGTATGACACCATTTATGTTGGCTACGTTCAAAAGATCGCTAAAATGTGTTCAATTTTTACACGAACACTATCCTAGTCAAATAAATCAGCAGGTATATTCACGTGCTTTTCATGTATCCTACTAAAATAATTTTTTCGTTTTTCTAAAGGACAATGATGGTGACACATGTTTACACTATACTGTAGCTAACAATGATCTAGAGCTCTCAAAATATTTAATTCAAGTTTGTGGTGCAAATGTAAATGGTGGTGATGAACAACGTCCTTCACCGTTGGATATTGCGATATTCAACGATTATAATAATATGATTAGATTTCTTCTCGAACATGGTGGTCAGAAACGCTGTAATATACAACGTGTTGTGAACAAATCAACCGTTAATATCGTTCAAGGACAAAAGAATACTGAATATATAAAAGATGAAACAGATAAAAGAAGTAAATCTCATTTAAATCCTTCTGGTATTAGCCGTACAGGTTTAATGTATCATGATAAAAGAGACTATTCAAATGCTTTAGTGTGCTATTTAAAAGCGCTAGTAATGGCGTTAGAAACAAACGATGCTCATTCTGATATTTCAAATTATTATGGAAATATTGGTTTAATACATGCTATTCAGGAGGATGATGCATCTGCCATTGAATATTTTGAGAAAGCTTTAATTATGAAACGTTGTAATCCAATTGAAAACATGCCTGAAATTGATAGATTAGAAAAATATATTAATCGTATTAAACAACAAGAACAAACATGTAGATAATTGATCAAAATCACCCTACTCTTGTTTCATATTATTGGTACATGATAATGAAAATAAACTTTACTGATCAAATCAGTGTGCAATATTTTCAATAAATCAATTTGTTCTGATTCAGCTTGACATTAGAAAACAGTGTTCGATCTTTGAAGAGATAGAAAATTATTAACTCATATTTCATTTCTTGCTTAACATTATACGTTGTATTTTTTCTTTGGTGTCAGTTTCGTTTTGATAATTACTATCGATTTTAAAAAAAAAATTAATAATGATATACTTTTTTATGTAAGAAGCAGTTTCAACATCATAGAACTGTTAAGAAACCGGTACCGTGAATTACTCCACGCAAAATAACTTATCGGCCGGAATTCTCCCATATGAGAGACTTCCGGTCAGTTTGGAGGTCCCTGTCTCTTTTTGATTACCACTCGAAAATGGAGAGAGATTTTTAGGAAATTTTTACATCAGCAGATAGAGAGCTGTTAGTTCTGTC